GCACACACACACCAAAAAAGAAATCAAAGAACTGAAGGAAGACAGGGATAAACATCCGAATGAATTCAGAAAAGAGTTAGAAATATTGAAGAATACTCAGGCTGAAATTAAAAAGGAAGTGAAACACTCAGTAAGCCAATTAGAAATGAAAGGAGAAAGCCTTACCAATTGGATGAAGAATGAAATGGAAAACAGAATAGCAAGACTGGAAGATAAAGTGCAGGAATTAGACCACTCAAGCAAAGATTATGAAAATTTTAAGAAATCACAAGAATGGAATATGCAGGAATTGTGTGACACCATAAAAAGACCAAAATTACGAATCATAGGCATACAGAAAAGAGAGGAATCCCAAGATAATGGTATGGCACAGATCTTCAACAGAATTGTGGAAGAAAATTTCTCAAAATTAAAGAAAACCATGCCCATACAAATACAAGAAGCATATAGAACACAAAACAGGAACAGAAAAAGAAACTCTCCACAGCACATCACATGTAAAACACTACACATAGAAAACAGAGAGACAATTCTGAAAGCTACAAAAGAGAAACAAGTCACATATAAAGGAAAACCCATTAGGATTACAGCTGACTTTTCAATGCAAACTATGAAAGCCAGAAGAGCCTAGACCAAAGTATTCCCAGTGTTAAATGACCACAGATGCCAACCCAGATTACTATATCCAGCCAAAATGTCTATTATAGTTGAAGGGGAAAGAAAAATCTTCCATGACATAAATAGGCTGAAGGAATTCATGTCCACAAAACCAGCCCTTCAGAGAGTTCTGGAAGCGATACAAAAAGCTGAAGATAGGAATGACTATACCCAAGGAATTGCGGAAAGTAATCCAATGAAGATATAACTGTGGAAAAGTACAGTTTATCAAGAATGTAAACAGAAATAAAAATGACAGGATTCAATATCCATCTTTCATTAATAACTTTAAATAAAATGGACTGAAATCCCTGGTCAAAAGACACAGACTACATGAATGGATTCAGAAACAAAACCTATCTTTTTGTTGTCTGCAAGAAACTCA